GAAACGAAAACATATTGGGCACTACAATAGAATGTCCCAAAACTTCTATAATTTATGTAGAAACGAAAACATATTGGGCACTACAATAGAATGTCCCAAAACTTCTATAATTTATGTAGAAACGAAAACATATTGGGCACTACAATAGAATGTGCCAAAACTTCTATAATTTATATGGATTTTTTTGCTAACCAACATATTTAATTTAAACACATGAAGCTCTCCTCGCAAGCTATCAGCTTTGACTGTTAAAACAAAACGGGCAGTTGTCTGATTTATATAACTTAGAATATGCTCTTTCTGTTGGCTGTACACATTTCCACTTGAACAAATATAGTGATATCTCAATAAAGCAAGAAGATAAAGAGGTTAAAATATTATATTCTGGCTTTTTAATATGTATAGTATGTATTTCTAATTGGTTGAATAATATAAAGCCATTATAAGGAAAGACAAATATAATGTATAAATGAGGAGTTGGGGGTCCACCATATCATGTGACTAAGAGGTGCAAATTGAGAATTTATATAAATATTTCCTTTTGTAATTAGGAAATTAAAATTTAGATGATATAAAAATTTGAATTATAAAGTGTCTTTTTGTGCCAAGTTTACAAACATACATTGATAATGAAGTAGTGTAATTAAATGTTCATTGTAACTCGGTAAAATGATTGTGACACACTTTCACTCTCCCATACGCATAGAGTTAACTTGTTAATGATCTAATAAATATCAACATACCAAAAATTACCATTAAAAGATCTGTAAGAGCTGGTTAATCTAATGACAAACTTGGTAGTGTCAACTCCAGGCTGGTGTAGTCGATTGAAAGTGCAAGTCCAGTAAAAACAGAGCAATTTAAATCATTTATCAAATATGAAGTAATAATGTGTGAAACAAACTCAAGATATTCTCTCTCTCTCAAGCTTGAATCAAATCTACAACCAGATTAGGCTAGACCTCGAGCATAAAATGTTTATAATCGTGGACTTGTTTTAAAGGATAGTATAGTGTTCTTACAAGTTTGTAAATTACAATGTCAAACTTGTAAAAGTTTTCCAATAACAGTTTGTGATATATAGCTAAACCTCAGTTGAAGATCCAATATTAATGTAAGAGATTTTCTAGAATGTTTGCTGTACTTTTATTACATTTTTTTTCTTGTCTTGAAGGTTGTATTGATGTTCTAATAACAATCTTTTTACTGTTCTGCTCTAATTATTACAGCTCTGATTCACCAATTGGTAAACGGTACAAGCAGAAACACAAGAAAGGGGTGAAGAAGGGACATGAAAAGAAAAAATATGAGGAAAAGACCAAGAAAAAATCAATAAAGGAACATAAGTCTCACAGAGAAACTCAAGAAAATTCAAAGGTAGGTGTGATCAAATGAATTTTGAATGGTTAATAACAAATAAAATTTCATGGATCAGTATGTGGTAAGGAATTGGATTTGGGAGGCACAGCCTTTGATATAAGTGGTTTTAATTTTCAATAAACATTCTCGTAAATTTCATTGGTTCAGAGTTGTGTATTTGTAGGGTAATTTTACTTACACCAGACGTTGGGGGGACACTGAATAATGTTAGAAAATAGCTTTAAAAATACATAGCTATAAAACTTTTTTTATTCCGACATGTTTGTAAAGCAGAGTGAAACGTGTACTGCAGGTTTGTAGAGAAATTAAACAGTTTATATATTGTGAGTATGTGTGATATCAGTGTTGATGTGTGGTATACACAAATAATTCATTTACCTTACTAAAGCATGCTTCCCCTTGAAGGCTTAACTCTTGCAGGTGAGATGATAATAAACTATTCTTTGCTTTTCCTTTTTTTGCTTGATGTTTTTAATTATATCAATCTTTTTCTTTATTGTAAAGCTAAGATTGTTCCAACTTAAGGATGAAGTATTTGTAATTTTATAAGTAGTTTTTTAATACACCTGCTATAACTTTATGAGAAATGAATGTTTAGGGAAAAAATAATAGTATTTTGAATTATTAGCTGGTTACAGTGTTTATTGAAATGTTTTTAATAGTCATTAAACTAAAGAAACAACCCACAAAAAAACAAAGATTTTGCTTCCAGGGCATTAATAGATTTTGTTTTTCTTTCATTGTTTTATCAATACCATAATCCACAGTCTGACAGGATGTAGATGTAAAAAAATCTGAAAGAATTAATGATGTTGCACTCACCAGACAGAGAAGTGTTCTATGCAAATAGACATCAGAGTTTAAATGTTAGTTGGCATTTTGAACATCAAGGGAAACTTTAGTCATGATTTTAAAAGTAAGATACTTACTCTGATAATTTCCGACCGTATAACACAATAAGGAGAACACTTTTAAGCAAAAAATTTGTACTGTGTCATTTAAAGAGGTTTTAATGGTGGGTAATGACTCATTTTTTATAGTTTAATAGACTTCATCCACCAAGAGTCAGGGTGAGAATTTACCTTGGGTTTCCATGATTCTTCTTTTAGTCAGTTTGGGTCATTTTTTAGATCAGTTTGAATTTGGTGAGAAAAATGGATTGGGGGGGGGGCAGCATCAATGTTTAAATGGTCGGGAGAAACAGGTTCTCAATCTAGTATTGCTATTTATCTGTGATGTCTAGTGGTAAAACATGGGGAACTGGAATGTGCTAATTGACGAACCAGGTATGTCTACACAAAAGTTTCAGCTGTTAATTCTCTGTCATCCATTTTTGATGCATGTTGTCTAATACTGAATTGGTTGGGCAATAGTGATCTTTTAAATATGCAAGAGTGGCAAAAATAATTGAGAGGGGGACAGGAAAATGTTATCAGAGAAATAGATAATGGACTGAAAACAAATTCAGACGGAACTAGATGGAGAGTAATGTCAGTCGGAAGGTGAATTTGTTTGGAAAAAAGGAGTTCTTGCAGGTATGGCAAGCTCTTAGAGAAAGTGGATATTGCCAGAAAGACCATGTGCAGCTTGCGTAAAGCTCTCATTAATTACTCATTTCACAGAGCAAAGTCTTATGTGTATGAAAAAACTTATCTGCATAAAAAGTACAAGCTATTCAATTGAACTTCGGTCATCTTTGAGTACAAAGCATCACAGACACAATGTTGATAGACCTTAAACATTGCTTGGATTAAGAGTCAGTCACAAAGAAGCTCAACTAACAGAGGACCTGCTGCATCTACAAGTACAATTTATAACATTCACCGTTTGTTTTTGAAAGCCAGTACCAAAAGAGATGAAGTCACACCACTGGTTCTCTTGGGTGGCAATTAAAATGCAGATTACTAGGTTATACTTATTTTGTACTTTTCAGCTATGAACAGATCTTTTGTGTATTTTAAGACCTTTTGAAATAATTTCAGTTTAAAACAGTTTCTAAAATGAGTAATAATAGAATATGAAGTCTTACTATATACATAAAAAACATTTAATTTTATAAAATGATGGATTATATTGTTATACCTTAATTTTCAAGAGATATATAAGTTATATCTTTTGTTATTTGTAATGGTGTATTATGTTAATTGGTTTTGTATGATTTTATATATGTGTGTGTGTGTGTGTGTATGTAATCCTGTATAGCTATTAACTGTGCCATATTGTTTAAATTGTTTTCAGTTAATATTTCTTGCTAGTGTTCCTTTTGAATTACAATGCATTCATTCAGTCTCATATCCAACCTGATGAAGATTAATTGCTTGAAACATTATTGCCATGTGAAATAGTTGTTTATTTCTTGAACTATTTTACTAGTAGAGTTTTCATCTTTTTACCACAACATTCAGTCATTCTCATATCAGATCTTATGAAGAGTAGTTGCTTGAAATGTCTTTGCCAAATAAAATATCAGTTTTTCTTTTCTGAATATTTGTTCAAAAAAATATTTCTTTTGTGTTTGAAAACAGGCTTACATGTCGTGTGGACTACTATCTTCCTAATAGAATATAAAGGTTCACTGTTCTAGATAGTTGTATGTGTATCTTTTAAATGTACACACTGCTTGCACCTCGGGGGACCTAAAACCCTGTAGCTTATGGCTTTTTGAAGATACACACGCCCCCCAGTGGCACAGTGGTATGGTCTGCGGACTTACAACGCTAGAAACTGGGTTTCGATACCGTGGTGGCCAGAGCCCATTGTGTAGCTTTGTGCTTAACTTCAAACAAACAAACAATGAAAATACACACCTTTCTCCTGTCGATGTTTTTTCTATTGAGACATTCTCACCCCTGAAGTTTTTATTTGAAGACTGTTATCTCCTAACTACCAGGGTGGATGAAGTTTTTTTACACTATTTAAAATGAAGTAGTATTAGTATTATAATTTCCATGCAGAGATATAAATTTATCTATAAACAAACAGCTAGATGTTATTGCGTTTTGTATTGTTAGATGAAAATTGTGCCGTTTGAGAGCCCAACTGTTTGTCCACAAATAGCAAGTCATTTTATAGAAATATTTTAAAATGGCTTAAAAATAATGAGCTTATAATGATTTTTGTTCTAACTGAACCATTTGATTTAATAAATAAATGTTTGAAATAAAGTGATCATTAAAAATCATAAGGTTTTTTTTTTAATGTTAAAGTATGTTAAGATTTCTGCATTATGTGAAAGTTTCAAACAAGCTTGAATTATGTTTATACAAATGGAAAATTGACTCGTCATACATTAGAATATTCACACTTGTTCCACTCCACATAGATACAGACACTCTTGTTTCAAAGCACATGAGTATATGTTAACCACAACTTATACAAAAGAAAATTATCACATGATAGACTAACAATACTTCCTCCTACTGATCGAAACATTAATTTAGATGTATTGAACATCTTTTTGGTAGATGGAAGTAGAAGGGTGTCCTTTCCAATGGTTAAAAATTATCTTTCGCTGTATCCTTTACAGTTATACCATGTCTTGATAATTACAGTTAGTTGCATCTAACACAGAGGTGTAAGCAACTGTTGCTCCTTCATAATAATTGCCATGAATAGTTAGCCAAAAAAATAACCCCTATGGACTCTTTGATAAGCTGTTGTTCTTAAAACACAACAATTAACATTGTATTAAAATAAGTTGTAAGTTGGGGGCAAGAAATAATGGTAAACATATACCAGTGCCAAGTTTGAATGGTAACATCACCTTTATTTTAAGTGTTTTAGATTCAGCACAAGAAATAATTATGTTTCAAAATATTAACCTTAGATGACATTCATATCGTGGTTCATGTTATTTACATCTGCTGCTACTTGTATTGAGAAAAACATCCAAAGATCTCCTCATTTATAGATCGTGCACATAACACATTGAATTGATGAGGAAATGTTAATAAAACTGAAACCTTAGTTGATGAAAATTATCCAAGCTAATATCAAAAGTAATGATCTTTTTTTTGTTACTAATTTTTCTCAAAATCTTGACTTAGCATTTATAAATTTTGGAAAATAATGTGCATTCAGCTATATAGTTAAATGCTGGAAAAATTTACTCACTGAAGTATTACTTAAACTTTTCTAAGACTTCTAGCTAGATATCTTTAGTTTGTCCTTTTTTATCCAGTTATTTGAGCCAAAACATTTGAAGTCATGGTGTTATAAAGATTTTCACCTAGCTGCTCTACTTACAAGAGATTCAGGTGGTATTTTACACTTAACATTGTGTCTGCAGTATGTGGAGATACGTTGCTCAGTATAGATTAGTTTTCTAAAAGAACTCGATATGAATTGGTTTCACATATCTGAGTTTAGTTTTTTATGGAAAAATTTTCATACAGTTAGATTTTTTTTCCATAAAACATTCTTTCTCAACAAACATCATTTTAACTTATAATAATAAGTAAAAGTTTTGTATCAGCCATACTGTAAAATTATATTTCAAAGGCAATTGTTTAAAACCAGTTTTAACTCAAATTTGAACAGGCGCTGCCATTGTCTGGTTGAAAATACTGATTTACCCATCAGACGGTGACAGCATTTGATAACATTAATATTTCTTTGGCTGAAAACTAATCCAAACCACCTTTTATAAATAGACTGGAAATTGTATAAGGTTTGGTGATAATTATTAGGACATCATGACAATAATTCCAGCAGAATATGGAAATAATTATGGGTTTAATGAGTTAATTAACATTTTAGTATATAAATCAGTATGGAATAAATGAGACAAAACTAAGTTGAAATCATTACTTGCCAGGTCTGTATGTATGCAAGACCTTCATATGCTTTATACATTGTAATTGGAAATGATGTCAAACATATTTGTGAACTATGTAAGACCACAAAATTGTCTTGATTTTGTAGCAACTCCACACAAAGTTAACTCTAAAAAATAGTTTGGTGTAACTGTGTTTGTGTGTAATAATTGACTTCAGTTAGTGTTTTGATGTACATAGTATTTTTACTGGATGATATGTAACACTTGTGATTTTGTCTTGATACTCAACTGCTCCCAGTAGGATTGGTCAAACAGTAAGTATAAGTATGACAATATTGCTAGCCAGTGTCCAGCGAACATGGGACATAACTGACAACATTTCTTCTATGTTATTGCCACACTTCTGTGTATCACAAATAATAGATTTTTATGCATGATGAAAGTTAATACTTAAGTGTAATTAATTTTTATTACATATATTATTAATGCTTGTTTACTCTAAGAAAATTCAAAGAAACATGTAGTAGTATGAAACTAAGATTATGTATACAGAAGAATGGTAGTAAAAAAAAATCACCTTTAAATATTAACATACTTATCTAAACATTAACTTTAATGTGACTCACTTTTCATGGTACATTTTGTTGATACCACCTGTACATCTGTTACTAGTTTTATAAAAACAAGTATTTTAGTTTTTATTTCTAAAACTTTATTGTCAGCCTTATGTTAATATTTAATTTCTTTTTTGGTTTTGATGAAACAACTAAGAGTATTTTGGATAGTTTTGTTATTACTGACTAAAATAATTAATGTTATTTAAAAAAACTGTTGTAATACATTTTAAAAATTATTATTTGAGGTGTGTGCACTTAACTAACATCTCTAAATCTCTTAATGTACGAAATATGATAGTTAATTAGGAATTTCCATGATTATCTTAAATTTGAAAGTATCCCCTTGTAATAACATTTTGTTAATTCATTTAATAATTACCTTTTAAACTTTAACTTTTGTTTTAAAACACTAAGAATAAGTTTTTATTCTCTCTATTAGTGAGTTGATTTTTTTTTTTAATAATTATACAGACTTGTATATCACTACAAAATTTGGACAGTGATAATGTATTGTTGTACTTTGTTTTTCAGAAACATCTTTCTTGGCACAGTTCATCTTGTTCAGTATCACCAAGTCCTCACTCTCCAAAAGTTTTGCCACTCTTAAATGTGGACAAGCACTCCCGTTCAGCTAGAAAACATGATAGTGTTGCAAGGAAATCTGACAAAAAATCTAGTTCAAAACGAGATAGATCCAGCTCTACAGAAATATCTGCCTATCAACAAAAAATTGATAAAAAACGCAAAGCTTCATTATCAAGTTCTGATAAAGAAGAAACTAAGAAAAACAAAAAGAAAAGAAGAAGCAAATCTTCATCATCATCATCACCTACTGGCTCATCTTCTGGGTAATTTAACTTGCTGATATTCTTCATGCTTCTGAAATGCTGTTACAGTTTCTATATGGTTATAACGGTGTATAAAGAGTAGCCCAAGAGTTAATGATGGGTTGAATAGCTTTCTTTCCTCTAGTATATCACCTCTAAATTAGGGACAGCTAGTGTCGATAGCCCTCATGTAGCTTTGTGCAAAATTCAACAACAACAAACTCGTTTTTCAATGAAGACTGAACAACTGTAAAAATATTTTTACAGTTGTTCAGTCTTTTAAAAAATTTCCTTAAAAAAATCATAACTTTCAGTGCAAGTTGTTTATCATTTCTAAAATTTTAGTTTTCTGTATGATATGTAGAAACCAGTTTTTATTTGGAAGTTTTATTCATCATCGGCCCATGCTAAGATCTTAAACCAGTTGGTTATACTGATGTCACATTGTTCAACAAACATTAAATATACAACAGTACTTGAAACTAATTTGTAATGTTTGTGTGTTCCATAAGTAAGGTATACTTTCATTATTTGTTTATTATACTTTTATTACACTGATTGTTTTGCATTGTTAGCTTAGTATATGAACTTACGACTCACCTAAATCTCCTAAATTAGCAAATTATGTGAGGTATTATTGGGTTTATGGCCAAAAATATCATTAAGAGTGAGGGTACCCAACTAATGAAACAATACATTCTAACCTTTATAAGTAAGAATGTAAGAACAGTATATTTAATCAACTGTACTTGTTACCAGATTGATTTTTAGTTTTGATCAAAGTAGACAGCTTGCTTTGTTTGTGGAATCTGTAATATAGTGTAAGTATAAACGGTTACTATGTTATGATCTTGGTGGGAGAATCTTTGATGTAATGTAAATATAAACAGTTACTATGTTGTTAGCCAGGTAGGAGAATCTGTAAGGTAGTGTAAATATGAACATTTACTACGTTATGAACTAGGTAGGAGAATCTGTATATATTATAAATATAACCAATTACTGTATTGTGGACCAGTTGGGAAACTCAAATTTGTGTGGAAAATGAGAGCAAAACTACACATAACATTCTACTTTAGTTTTGTCCTTATGTCACCTGTTTAACTGAGGAAGTAGTAAGCAATTCACACAACCTAATCTGTGCTATATATAAGAATGCTGCTGTACTATGTGTCGTTAATGATTTCATTATATTTTCTGTTGAAACTTAATAGTGAGGAAGAGCTCACCAAGAAGAAGTTATACAAGAAACATCACACTAAAATAAATGAAAGTAAATGGGATATAGATGATAAAATATTAGATTCTCGAGGAAAGGAAAAGATTGACCGAAGGTACCCAAAGGAGAAATCTCAAACCCCTGAAAGAGAAAAAGGTCGAGACTCTCGTTCTCTAAGTTATTCCCCAATCCCTAATAGTCGAAGTTTGTACGCACGAAGTCGCACAGAGGCTGATTCAACATCAAAGTTGAATGGCAAGAGGTAAAAAAATATCCAGATTTACTGTAGTTGTTTGAAGTGAAGATAAAGAAAAACAAAAGTATTAGAAACCTGTCATTTATGTTATTGTTGCTTAGGCCATTACTGTATGTTATGGGAAATAGGTTTTTTAAACTGAAGAACTATTCGATTTAAAACTGAATTTAACACTTACTAATACCTTGCTTACCAGTAGAATCCATTTTACATTTTTATGCAATCACATCATTCAGGCATGTGAAAAAGGGCATGGATTTGAAGATTTCTGCAGATTAGGTAATGGGTGGGGGAAGGGGGGGGGCTGTATAATCAAGGCTGAACTGCCCTTGCCTCTCAATCTATGTAGATTCACGGAAAGTACTTGTTCACACAGTCATAATTTGAGACGTACTTGAAAGTCTGTACAGTATCGCCAAGAATGGTAGCTTTGATCTTGTAGCAGCAGAATTAGCATTATAATTATAAGCAAATGTTGTAGTAATAACTTATTGTTCAAATTAATATTAAATATGAGAAATATTGTAAACTTTTTTCTTGTTCTACTTTTTCATATAAAATTACTTTACAACAAAGAAAAATTTTGGAACTCAGATTTGTCTGTGGCCTACTAACCTCATCATTAAGAAATGGTTTCAAATAGTCTATTTGCACATACATACACACACCACTTCTTTTAAACTAGTTATTTATGAAGATTTTAATTTTGAGAAATGTTTCTAATGGTGAATAATAATGTTGTTCTATATGATTCTGTGCCAATAATACTTTTAAATGTATTTTTAGTATTTGTAATAATTTTCAAATGATGTTAATAAAAATGTAATATTTTGCCTGAAGTATTTGCCAAACTTTGCATGTAAACTAATGTTGCACAAACGTTTTATTAAACATACTTCCACTGTAAACATTTATAGTTTTAAAACCTTTACTATTTTCTAAATTTACATCAATGTAGATCTAAAATAGCCGGCAAATATCATGATGAAACCTCCCGATCATCCCTGCCAGAACGAGGGGAGAAAAAAACCGATAAAATCAAAGAATACAACACCAAATCGCCACAGTCTGACTACAAGTTTGATTATAGAAGAGATGAGGCTCAGTACATTTCTGCCAAGAAAGACAAAAACCCATCTCCAAGAGCAGATAGAAAAGAAGTTTATACATACAGTCGAGATGAAAGCAGGTATTCCAAATCCCAGAGCATTAGTATAAGCTCTCCACGTAGAAAAAACAGTGGACATGACAGTTCATCTTCGTTGTCTTCTTCACATTCATCTTTACCTCAAAAAGCAAAGACGTTTTCAAAATCTGATTCCCATGAAGCAGTATCACCAACCCCGGATTACCAAACTGCCAAAAAAAGAGGACATTCCAGGTCATCGTCCCGATCTTCGATACGATCTAGGTCAAGGTCAGAGTCACACAATTCTTCTGTCCACTCAAACACAAGGACACCGTCTTCTCGAAGGTAAGTTAGCTACTTCGATGCATTTCACATAAACAGGATTTATGTTTGTTCTCTGTCTTGTTCATTCTGTTTGTTTGGTTTACTTGTAAATATTTTATTTAGTTTATTGTGGCTTAGTTCCCTTTTATTAGAAATAGGAGTAAAACATTATTATGACAAATACACAGCCACTTGAGTATGAATTGCTGTCTAATTGTTATTCTTAACTGTGTAAAATCTTCATAGGAGTCTGAACCTGAACAATTATAATTGAGAACTGAACTTTATTTACAAAGCTATTTAATTGGCTTTAGAAGAGAAACACAAAATTTTCTTAGTTTACTTTTAAATGTAGTGTAATATTTTATTCTGTAATGGATATTACAGACAAAGCCTGATTTTTCTTTAGGAACCGTAGTAACAGTACAAAGAGTTCTGTTTACCAATCTTCATCTCATTCAGTATCACGATCTAGGTCAAGAAGTGGAAGTGAATCCCATCAAAGCCGAAGTTGGAGTAGGTCTAGCAGAAGAAGTTCTAGGTAAGCTGTAAAAGATTGAAACAGCTGCTTCAGAACTGTAAGCTGTAAGTAATTCATTGACAGACCCTTGGAGTTTTGGGGCTAGTAGAAGATTATGAAAGTTCCTAAGCTAGAAAAGAATACTAATAGGTGCTTTGAGCTGTCAGACTGATATGGGATTTTGAAAGCTCCTGATAAGATATGAAAAAAACACTACCAGGTGTTTCAAGTTGTCAGGCTGGTTAGGGATTTTGAAAGTTCTTGGCAAGATATAAAAGAGTACTAATAGATGCTTCAAACTCTCAGAATGGTTGGGAATTTTGAAAGATTTTGATAAGATATAAGAGACTAGTAACTGGTGTTTCAAACTCTTAACCCTATCGCAATGGGCATCCTTTACTGCACATGTCACGAGGTTTTAGTGATTGTATTCAAAATTTTATTAATCTACTTTTGTTTTATGTTATTCCAATTAGTATAGCATAAAATTTTAGCTAATAATCCTAATATTTCATATTTTAATAGTACGTAAGTTTAAGCTCTTAATTTTATATGGCAATATTTTAAAAAAATCCTGCATCTTCTCTTCTCTATTTTATCCACCACCCCTCCAATAAGTACACAATTAAATGCAAGTTACTCAGTATAAAATCATTATTGCTCACACAAACCATAATTTTTATAGCCATCAATTTTGTTTGGTTACAGAGATATGAAATAGAAAATCAGACCTCTCTTGCCACACCCACTTATCATATCCTGTTTTTCAGGATTTGTTAATAATTCTCTCTTACGTTTAATTCTATACTATCTATATCAAGAGAAAGCCAAGGTTTTCATCTATCAAATGATGTATTCTCTGACATTGATTTCTGCACAGAGAATTGTCAGTTTCACTGTTAGTACAAGCTTCGTTCCCCTGGGAAAGATAATGACTAACTTAGATGAATTTGTAATGGCTCTTGTCACATCCTTAGAAAGCCAGAAAATTGTTTACTTTTTGCATGTTATTAGTCTATGTTGTATGATGCATTATTTAATTAAATAAAAATTATTTAGTGCATTACTACCATTAGTATATAAAAAAGTAGGGTTAAGTGTAATCGATAGTCGACAGCAAGAAAAAAGAGGATTCAGGTAAGGACTTTATTTCATGCTTATTCTTTATTTATTATTATAAAAGTAAGTAAAATGTAAAAATAGGGATCTCTTTAGGTTAGTTAATGTTAGATTAGGTAATATACATAATAATAATGATAATATAATAAAAATGCTTCATGAAGTATGCAGGCAAGCAGCTCATGGATAATGTAATTCGATAGCGTTATGTTACTTTCCCAAGTAATTTACAATTTATAATGGTGCAAATAGTAGTTAAATGCAGTTCAAATGACAATAAAGCAATAAAATTTAATTATAAATAGATCTATACTGTTAAGAGTTTAAAGCTACTTAGGATAAGTGAATGTAGTTTCATGTTCCAATAAAAAGAAAAAAAGAGTGATTTAGATTTATTTCTTTTTTTTTTTTTGGTGGTTACAAGTTTAGTCAAATTGACCAATGTTGTATAGAGTTAGGGGAAGATAAAATATAAAGTTTTACTGAAAACAGACATTTGAAATGTATTTAGGAGGTTTTAGAGAATACACAAATAAAATCTGAGATTTTTGAGATGAAGAAAAATATTTTTAATATTAACATGAAAATCAGTTCACACACATACTATTCAAAACAAATACTCGATATATTCACAGACAAATCTTTAGTAAAAATACTTTATTAAAAAAACAGATTTTTTGTGTACAAGGTACTTGTCATATATACTAAAAGTCTTCCAAATTTTGCGAAGATATACACACACTGTATTAAAAGTTATAATATTAAAACTATATACAAGTAAAAATGGTTCCATGGTTGGTACCTGGGGCCAACCCTGTATTGAGAGAGCTAAGCTTGTTGTGGATTTGAAAATTTCCTGGTAAAATATAAGAGAGTACTAATGGGTACTTCAAGCTGTCAGGCTGGTTATGGTTTTGAAAGTTCCTAACAACATATTAGAGAGTGCTAACAGGTGCTTCAAGCTGTCAGGCTGGTTATGGTTTTGAAAGTTCCTAACAACATATTAGAGAGTGCTAACAGGTGCTTCAAGCTGTCAGGCTGGTTGGGGATTTTGAAAGTTCCTAACAACATATTAGAGAGTGCTAACAGGTGCTTCAAGCTGTCAGGCTGGTTGGGGATTTTGAAAGTTCCTAACAACATA